GCCGTCCCCCCCCCGCGAGGGGCCGGGCCTCTCCCCTGGGACTCCCCTCGGCCGTCCCGCGCCTCCGTCGGGAGCCCGGCTCGGCACCGCCCGGAGTCGGTTTCCGAGAAGGTACCGAAGGACCCTGGTTTTCCGCTTCGCCGTTTTTTTAGGCGGGGTGGAGGGAGCGGAGTCTCTGTTTGCAAGTCCCGTATCTGAACACCCATCACAGTGAGCGCTGGCCAATTTCAGGGAAGGTGGGTTGTGGTGTCACTGCTGTTGAAGGTTGTCTTCGCCGGGTGTTGCGGGGAAAGCGGGGAGGAGAGGCGACTGGCTTTTGGAACCAGAGACCGAGTCTAAGCGGGATTCCCTTCTCTTGCTCAAGCGTTTAATAAGAGCCCGTAAAAAAAAAAGAGACCACTGATTTACAGAAAAGACTCGAGTGAAATCTGCGAAATTGTTTACTGTGCTGTCTAGATATGTAAGGACGGGCACATGGGTTGAAGATTAAACAATTACCGTTTTTATGCCTGGGTTGCTTGGCACGTTACACTGGAATGAGAAAGCTTTTAAAATGACAGAAACGTTCTGATAGAATTTGGGGCTGGGGGGAGCCAACATTTGTTACACCAAGAATGAGCGGTTCCTTTAAGTTCAGATCGCAGCTGGAGGGTCACAAAAGGAGTGGAGGGAGGTTAAGTCCTAAAGTAAGAGGAATCTAAATCATAGACATCTTAGTTGTTACAAAGCAAGTGGACGCCGGCAGAAGCACTGCGGATGACGTAATAATGCGTTTGACACTAACGCCCTGTAACCGTTGTACATGTTGGCAGAAAAGCGCTAGAGTCAAACGCTACTTAATAGATCCCTAAATATTTAAAATTTTTATTATTGTTTTGATGTTATCTGCGTTTACCTAAAAGTTAAATAGATATCAGAAGTCTTTTTAAATACCAGGATGTCTTCTGTGGACACCATGGATTTATCCCAATTTTTCTATAACCGTGGTATTTTACATTGAAAATATGTGTTCATAATGATCACCTTGAGCGATAGTGACATCCTGAATCATCTAAAAATAATTCAGCTGTGGTCCCTAGTTATCAAGGAGAAAAAAGCGTAATGATACGTGGAGAAAAAAAGTAACTCAGCAAGCAAATATTAAAAAAATGTATTAGCCCTCAATTAACCACAGCCCTCGATTACCCATAATACCTGTATTCCTCAAGCATTCTTTTAAGTTTTATTCTATATCAATTCAACGTATTTTATTGTGATCACAATAATAGGCTGTTCACTTTGCCCCATCCAAAACCTTTGAATAATCTCTGTTCCTAATACTTTCTATCTTGTAGTTTTCTCCCTACACTCGAAGATTCAGTAGATAACACCTGAATTTATACAACTAACTAGGCCTGACCTGAAGTTCATTTCTGATGTTCAGTTTCAAACCAGGAATTTCTCATTGGATTTGTGCCTCAAATTCATCATCCTCTGAACCTTGTCAGTTCCCCTTCCTTTTCTTCAAATTCGAATCATTATATAATAGATTTATGAATAGTTTCCTAAATTTCACTTTTCCTCAACTTTGCTTCTATAAACAACTTCCAAATTAGTTTTCATAATACTTTAGACATTATATGCTCTTGCCAAAAAACTTTTAAGTGACTTGCAATATCTGTAGTATTTAAGTCATACACCAAACAATTCTCACCCTGTTCGAAAGTATCGTATAAATCCTGCATTCTAGTCAAACTGTTCTCTTCTCACCCTTAGCTCATTCTCTTGCTTGAAAAGAACCTTCTTCCCTCTGCTTTCCCTTCATAGCCTGTTCTTCAAGAACTAGTTTAAGTCCCAGCTTCACCAAGCCTTTCCCAAGCCCCGGGTGATAAAACCATATTTGAAACCAAGGATTCTCAATTTAGAATTCGTAGCTGGCTTCAAGGAGTGTTTGAAATCCTTGTAATTGTATTTAAAATTTTATGCACATGTTCATTATCATCAGAGTCTATAGCTTTCATCGGGTTTTCAAATACGCGTGACTACATTTCCCCCGAATTTAAAAATTACTCTCTCAACCTCTGGGGCACGTCTCCGAGCTTTCGTCTGTTACGTGTAATATCCAAAAACATTACCTACTTTTGGTATTTGTCAGCATATGCTAATTGTCTTGTATTGATATTTATCCTTTAGTATGTACTTACTGCTTTCACCCAGATTATATGCACACTCAAGGATGCGAGGGGCCTCGTTCAAATTCTTTGTATCCTGAAATATTTATCTGAGTGCCCACATGCGCCACTCTGTTCGAGCCTTTGGGATGCATCAGCAAACAAAAATCCCTCACTCATGGAGTTTATATTCTTGCAAGGAGAAGACAGAGGTTAAGCAACCAACACAAAACGGAATAGCGATTGTGCTAGGCGAAGCAGAGCAAGATAAGGGGGATTGGGAGTGTGTTGGGGTTTGCAATTTAAAATATGGTGGTCAAGATAAGCCTCACTGAGAAGGTGACATTTCAGCAAAGACTTGAAAAAGGTGCGGGAGTGGGCCGTGGGAGGGTCTGGAGGAAGAGCCGTGGCAGAGCCCCCAAGGCAAGAGTGTGCCAACATGTTCCAGAAACAGCACATGGGCCAGTGCAGGGTTTAAGAATCCGTGTGTTTGCTGGTTTGATTGTAGACTAAGGGAAGCAAGCGTGGAAGGGGAGGCCGCCTCGGAGGCTAACTGCAGTATTCCAGGCCAAAGGCAGTGGAGGCGTGGACTAGGGGCAGTAGCAGTTGAGACAGAGAGGTCAGAGAATCCTAGCTATGTCCTGAAGGTAAAGCCACTAACTAGGATTTGCCAGCGGATTAGATGCGACTTGTGGGAGAAACGGAGGAATCAGAAACGACTCCAAAGTAGACGAAAGCAACTGGAGGATGGAGCTACCGTTCGCTGAGATGAGAAGTCTAGGGAAGAGCAGCTTTTGAAAGGAAAACAGTTCCGTTTTGAACGTGTGGGCATGAGATGTCTGTTAGGCATTTGGAAGACATGGCCAGGAGGCAGTTGAATAATCAGATCTGGAGAGAAGTCTCAGCTGCCGATCTGTGTTTGGCCATCATTAGCTGATAGATGGTGTTCAAAGCCCAAATACCACCACCAAGGGGGTGAGTATGAAGTGGGATGGTCCAGGGGGTTGGGAAGAAGAGCATACCGTTTTTTTTTTGAAATTTAACACCTGTGGAGTATTCTCTTTAGGTCAAATATATTGTTTTCAGAAACAGATTAATTCATTAAGATGCAAAACATGTTTGTTTGGTTTTTAAACTTTGAGGAGAACGAGTTTGCCACAATGACCTACCAAAGAGAAATAAGCATAGATGGGTATCTTTAAGAACCACATTTGAAATCTTTACTGACTCACTTTGTGAAGTAACCAATGTCTCCGATTTATCTTGTTGGATGAGCTTACTCTATTATTACATTATGATTCAGTACTTCCTTGTGAGACCATTATGGGACCTGAAAACAAATTTGGAAAACATCCCGTCACTTAGTGTCCTTAATGCAGCACTCCCACTTTCTGCCTCCGATCTGCAGAATGGTAAAGCTGACACATCATTAGGATTGCCAAATGACGGTACGTTTTTAGATACAAGTTGATCTTGTACGAAGCTTATTCCTTCCTAAATAGTCCTTATTAAGTGGATGCAATACTTTATTTCACACATATCTTGAAATATGAGAGCTGCTTTAAGCTCTTTTAAGGTCTTTAGATACAGCGCATTTTGTGAATGCGTACTGTGTGTGCATTATGCCAAGTGCTTACACCCGTTTGCATTTCCATGTACCACCTTATGAAGTAGAACCCATTATCCCCATTTTACAAATGAGAAAACTAAGTGTAATGAAATGACTTGTCTAAGTTACTACCCTCAAGCTAGGTATTAGCAGAAACAAAATTTGAATTCAGATCTCGAAAGAGAAACATCTTGGAGTAAAATTTTTTAAATACTTGTTTTTAAACTGTACATTACTAAAAGGGGAAGGATAGCAATTCAAGTGAAACAAATGTATTTTTTAAAATTTAATTTAAAAAGCCTCAAAACTAGAAGAGACAACCCATAGAATGGCAGAAAATATTTGTAAATCATACATCTGATAAGGTACTTGCATATAGAATATAGAAAGAACTCCTACAACTCAAGAAACAACCTAAATTTAAAATGGGCAAAGACTCAGAATAGACATTTCTCCAAAGATACGCAAATGACCAATAAGCACATGAAAAGATGCTCAACATCACTATCTTCAAAGAAACGCCAATCGAAACCGTAATAAAATGCCACTTCCCTTCTACTAGTGGCTGTCATCAAAAAGACCGATGATAGCAAGTGGAGCATGCGGAGAAATTTAAACCCTCACACGCTGCTAGCAGGTGTCAAACAGCGCGGCCGCTTTGGAAAGTAGTCTGGCATTCTTCCAACGTTTGAACAGGTACCATGTGACCAGCAGTCCCACTCCTAGGTATGTACCCAAGAGAACTGAAAACATGTCCACACAAAAGCTTATCCACGAATGGTCATAGCAGTATTAGTCATAATAGCCAAAAAGTAGCAACATACCACATGTCCATTACCTGATGAAAGGATAAACAGA